ACACGAAAGTGGCTAAACTGAGCGTTTTAAAATAAAAAATAATTGTTTTAGAATTGAGATTACTAGATAAATTTTTCATAAGAATCAATCAAAATATATTTTTTAAGAAAATGTCAAAAAAAAAGGTGATTTACTACCTTAATGAAAACAACATAAAAATTAAAAAAGTATATATATTTAGTCATGTTAAGTTTTGTAAAATAAAAATAACATATATGGTGTTTATTTATACACACATGCATGTATATACATGCGCACGTATGTATATGTATATAAATCAAATTAAATAAACTTTTGTTAAATATTGAAAAAACCAAATGGATTCTCTTTAATTCAGCTTCAAAAAACATATACTACCGCTTCAAAAGAACATATTCCAAATAGATTCTTTTTAATACAGCTTCAAAATAACATATACTATATACTACCGTAAATACACATATACTACCGTACACAAACTAAAACTACCGTACATAAAAAACATACCGTGATAACATTTATATAAAAAAAGTTATGTATACAAATTTTTTAGGTGGTTTTATAGGTCGAAATCTTTCATTTAAATAACTCATTGGCAAAAAGTATTAGAGTTTTTTTTTTTTTTTTTTTTATCAAAAACCATTTTAATAAAATATACTTTAACTCAAATATATTACCCTTTTATTCACTATCTTATTAGTTACGGCTATGCTGTCTGTGAGAGTATCCACAAAATTTAGCTAAAACCTCCACATTTTCAGCAGAAGCAAGTAGCGCCTCTCATTAATTTAATAAGTTTTAATCATGCAAAGCCTTTCTTATTAAGCACGAACATTCTCAATATTTATAAGGTTAATATTTCCAACGTACTTTGTTTTATGCTTAAATGCAAAATTAAGTTGCAATTTAATATTTATTTAATTAAAGAAAATTTAATTAAAAAAATGGAAACGATCGTGTCCATTTTCTTTTGGTGATATATATTCATGTAAACAAGAAAAGTATATATATTTTACAAAGTAATAATTTTTTATGATAAAATTTAAATCAAGTAATGGCATATCTTGACTTCTATTTTGTGGAGCACTTTTTATGCAACAAATAAGTGTTACAAAGTTTTGATTTTTCTTTTGAGTTATTATTCCTTTAGAAAAAAAAAAAAAAAAAAAAAATAGAGAGAAATTATTTCCACGATTGATGGCATATTTTTATATTTTTAAATTTCTTTCTTTTAATTGTTTTTTATAATATTTAAATAAATGGGGGGCTTAATGATAAGATGAATTTTGTTTTCTTCAAGCCCCAGTCATGTAAATATTTGTTTTTATAAATTACGAGTGTAAATTATTTTCAATCGGCAAATACAATACTAAAAAAAAAAAAAAAAATAACTTATTTTTAAAAGAAAATTTTATTTTAACATTATATTCATTTGATCATTGTTTGAGAAATATACTTTGTTTCGCCCATTTATGTATTTATTTTGATAAATATATTTTGTCTCGCTTATTTTTTATCTTGGTATTTTATTTTTATTTAACGTACTAGCAGATCTCAATGATAGGCAGGGTCGGACTGGCTTGAAAAAAAAGAGGGGGAAATTCGGTAATGGCGGCCCACCTCATATTTTATGTCTCATTTATTTATTGTTATTTTGTGTATAAGAAATTTTTTTAATCTTCTCAACCTAAATATTGATAAAAAATAAATATTTATAGAACACTGCTGTAAGTTGAAGAGTATAAATAGTAGAAACAATCGCTTTTCCCTATTGACTAGTATAGTAACTTTTTCATCGTTTGACTAGTCGATGTCAAAACATAAATGATTGCATTGTCATTATTTCTTGTAAGCAGGTCTGCATGAAAGCGAATGTAAGATGACCTATAAAACTGCTCTCAATAGGACTTATGGTTTCAGCTGAAAATTTTTAATAAAATATTTGGGATCATTTGAATTCATTTGGTGTCTGTATGGAAAGAGATGTAGCAGGTTCTACTCAAGATGGTACAACAAGAAGTTCATGCATAAACAAAAAGTTCATGCAGTAAACAGACTTTGTTGATCAGTTTTGCCTTAATTATGCAACTCATCTTGGTGTATGCGACACGTAATACAAGAAAAATAAAGACATAAACGTACCAGTTTCCAAGGAAACGGACAGTGATTCAGATGAAGATGAACACGGAATTTACAATGATAATTTCAGTTTTGAATCAGTAAACAATGAGATTGACTACCCTGAAATTTTGATGAATGCACAAAAAGTAATGAAGTTCATAAAAATTTCATCAGTTCGTAATCAATTTTTCAAAAGAAAGTTACTGAGGAATTCGGTAAAGAAATTGAATTGCATCTCGATGTTCGTCATCGTTGGAATTCACTTTTTCAATGACTGCGCTTTTGTTAAAAACTAAGAAATGCTTATTTTAGATATTTACTGAATTAAATGCTCTTGATGTAATCAACAAACTAGATTTTGAGTCATGAGCTTCATTACATGCTGCTTTAGAGCCAGCAAAACTAGCAGTGGAATTCTTTAGCAGAGAAGATGCAACGTTATTGACAGCAGATACTGTTCTTGAATTCATGTTTTTAAAATTATTTACTATGAATACTGGACTTGCATCTTTATTGCATTCAAATTTCAAAAAACGCATCGATAAAAGAGTTAACAAAAATGTTATGCAGCTGTTGAAGTGCCTAAAAAATCCTTTAGTCCCATTAAAAAATACTTTAAATTTTGCTGGAAAACTTGCGTTTAGGCTTTTTGGATTTACTTCTAGTGATGAGGAACCACTACTAGTTGAATCACCATGTACAATATTGGATAGTTACTCTGTTTCTCTTAAAGATAAATTAAATGCGCTTCTTAAAAGAGATAGCATCACACACTTGCCTAATTCTACCGATCAATTCAAATGGCTTAAGCAAGAGTTTTTGTTGAACCGAAATACGGACAAAAGAACAATGTTTATTTACAATGCGATACTCTCTATAAAGCCCACCTTAACAGATGCTGAGAGCGTTTTTTCTAACTGAAATAGTTTTTGCATTAAAATTAGATCACAGTTATCTGATAAATCGTTAAAATCTTTAGTTTTTTTAAAATGTTTTTACAATAAAAGTTAGTTATTGTAAGTTTAATTTCAAAATATATGCATAATGTAGAACACTTTGTTTAAATAACGTTTTAAAATAAATAATGCAAGATAAACTTACATAAGTTTTATTAATTAAGAAAAAAGCCCCCGAAAACCACGGTTTTTAAAAATAAAACCGAAACCGCTGTTTTTTATAAATGCGGTTATTTGGAAACCCAAGTCACAGTGGCCTTACTTCAGTTTTAAGTGCTCAAGTTTAAAATCAATAATTGATCGACAGATGACGTTTAAAATTTTCGACAATATAAAAGATAGGTTTCATATTTTTTAAGACTGATAGGAGGTGTCATATATAAGAATGAAAATTTTACCAAGCGTATGTCGAAGAATACACTACATGTGAATCTTAAAAAAACGTTTCACAACATTTTATATACATAACAAAAAATACGGCTCAGTAAATAGTTTTTTGTATGTTTAAAGTTTTATAGTAATCTTTTTTTTTTGCGTCAACTTTAAAATAAAACTTAAGTTGACATAAAATGTCAACTTAATTTTAAAGGGTGTCGTGTCGATGCTTTACGATTAAAGTTGTTTAACAATAACAGCGACATTTTAGCCACAAAATTTTTATTGATGTTTATATGTCTTTATTTACTGAGGCATTAGCATTAGGTAAATTGTTAAATACAGCCTACTATCACATTAAAATTACGTTTTAGTGTTGTGGTAATACACCGCAGCAAAATTTCATCCAAGATATACTTTTGGCTTGTTTCTCAATGTTATTAAATTATAAAGAATTAATTTTGCTTCAACTAAGAAATGACAATAGCAAAAAAAAAAAATTCTTGAAAACAGCAGACACTTTCCTAAATTAGTCAAAGCTAAAAAAACAAAGCGTAGTGTAGTTATTTATGAAATCAATAGTAACAAGAGACGTATCGAGTCAAAGCAGTACCTGCTCCAAAAATCTAAGACAATAGCACTCATATATTTAATATTAAAAACTATTATCAAATATGACGAGTTGCTTAATTTATAAAACTTAGTAAATTTTTACTTATGAAAATTAGATACCCAATTGTAGATTTAAATAGTAAAAACAACCGAAACTTTATTTATTTTTAGAATTGCAAAGTACCCTCTTATCCTATTTATATATGAAAATAAATAATACATAAAGGAATTACAGTAAAATATAAAATCATATAAACACCTTGTATTTGTCAATGATAGAAAATAGTTTTAAAACATGATATAAAAATACAAGCAATTTTATAGAGTTTATAGCAACAGCAACACAAAAAAATGTCTTTACAAACTAACAAGAAAATTTTGTTTAAAAATCATAGAAAATATTTTTTTTAAAAACAAAACCATTAAAACTTTAAGTTTTAAAAGTAACCTTAAATATGAATCGAAAAAATGCTTTGAAAAACGCATTAAAACTTTACAACAATTTGATAAAATTAAAACAGAATAAAAGTAAATATTTACATCAGAAACAATTTATATATATATATATATATATATATATATATATATATATATATATATATATATATATATATATATATATATATATATATATATATAGCCATCTACCTCACAAAAATATTTAGAATACAAAATTATCAGATAGAAAAAGAACAAAAAGAATGCCAGCTAAAAACATTGATATATTTCATTTGTGGATGAAAAATAATTTAGTAATATATATATATATATATATACATATATATATATATATATATATATATATATATATATATATATATATATATATATATATATATATATATATATATATATATATATATATATATTAGTAATGTATTGATAATTATTAATATATATTTTGCCCTTTTCGAAAAAATATTTTATTCTATAGATAAAAACCAGTAAAAAATTTGAATTTATCGAAAGACTTTGTGTGAAATACGTTCATGTTCAAGTAAATGGTGTCGCATTCTAAATTTTTTGTTACATAAGGTACATGAATGAGGTCGCTCACCTGTGTGTAACATTACATGACCTTGGAGATGGTGTTTTTGACGAAATTTTTGGCTGCAAAATTGACATTGGAAAGGTTTTATTCCCCTATGAATCATCATATGCCTCTCTAGAGCAGCACGTTTTTTAAAAGTTTGAAAACACTCAGCACATTGAGGTCGTTGCTCCCCATTTTCATTTACAACATGAAGAGGAGCATTAACAGGTTTTGTTCCATTTTTGGGTAAAGCTATACTTCGCTTACCCTCTCCATTTGATGCTTTAAAAACAGGAAATACTTGTGAGGAAGTTTTATCAGCTGACAGATGAGGAGGAGTAGAAGATAACTTTAGAAGTAAATGTGATGTAGGTTTTGAATTATCAGAATAAACATCTTTATCTTCATTTTTTTTTAGTGTATTGTTTTCACTAATATATGAATTTGAAGTACTATTTCTTAATAGATATTTAGTCCTGTCTTCACAAATATTAGGTTGATCAATAATAGAACTGTTGTCTAAGTCATAAGACATAGATGATGGTTGTAATTTGTTATTTAAATTTATTACTGTCATCCTAAGTGATGTTAAATCCTCAGTTTTTGTATGCACAGATTTCTCTATGTGATTAAATGTCTTTTCTGTAGAATGACACATCAAGCGTGGAAGCTGATCACACTTTTTAAGTGGATACTCATAAGACCATTTAAATTTGTCCGAAAATGAAGGCAATGTAGCTTGACTCTGTGGCAATGCAGCTTTCTCACCATTTGCCTTTAAAAATTTATAAAAAAAGTAAAATAGGAGTAAAAAAAAAAAAAAAATATGAAAATAAAATAATGATGTAATATGAAAATAAAATAATAGCTAAAAAATAAATATTGACAGTTTACTTGTTTTCCTGTTATAGGCTCAGCATAGACATCTGAATCTCTAATAATCAAAACTGGATACTCGTCAACAGGTCGACATTCTGGTATATCAACTACTAGCGCTTCATTCGAATAGTCTTTGAATGTTTGTTGACCATTTTCAGAACCAATAAATTTTTTTGGGTGGCTTTTTCGACGACCAGATGTAACATTATATTTATAATTTGGTAGGCTGCTTTTTGAGTTTATACTTTTATCCTATAAGAAAAATTTGCATTGAAACATCAAAAGAACAAAAAGAGACATTTAATCTAAAATCTAATGTACCTTTTCTAAATTATCCCAAAATTCTTTTATAACACTTTCACATGCAACCAGGAGATCTTCTCTTTCCCATGTATCTCTCCAGGCAACTTTATAATATCTAACACCATCCTAGTAAAATAAGCACATCAGCAATAAATGATATAAACATTACTATGACCTTTTAATATTAATTCAGATATCCTAATTAAAACTGTGATATATATTTAAAACAAGTTTTCAAAATAATAATTCAGACTGATAGTTATATAAGAAAAATTTAATAAGGAATTTTATTGATTATTGAAACTTATGATAATAGTAACAGTTTGTTTAACAACCATGATATTAAAATGATTGAACAGCTATTTTATTAATGTCTTTGAAAAAATATGTTTTAAATCTTAAATTGAGGATTTTTTTTATAAAATCCTCAAAGTATATGTAAAGTCTTTCAATATAAGAATTTTAGAAAAAAGCTCATTTATTTTACCATTTACACTTTAAAATTATAACAAATGTTTAAATAGCAATAATATTCAAGTTATTAAGGAAAAAAAGGTAAGAAGTACAAGAACTCTAATTATTTTAAAACGATTTTAAGTTACGTAATGGACTTTTGATACTCTCACTTCATAGTCTTACAGGGAAAAAAATATACAACAAACTTTAGGAAAAAGATATAATTTTGTTTTAAAAGGTTCAAAAAATTAATATTTTTTCTGCACAAATATAAAATATACAAGTTGTATATTTTAGTTTGATGTTTAAAAAAACTTTGAAAAGTATTACAAACAATATTGAGTATTAAAAAATCCTATACTTTAATATAAAAAATATTTATAAAGTAAATTACATCGAGTACCTTTCTAACACATGTATCAAGTACACATTCTACTCTATCTGCGATGCTTTTATTTTCTATCCTTCCAAACTTTTCAACAACATCTCCGAAACCCATCGCACGGGTATGAAAACTCACGGGAAGTATTGGTATTACTTTAAACGTTAGTATTTATATGTCGTAAGAACTACTCGCAGTCCGAAAAAACGTAGAAAAACTAATGAAAAGAGGGCGGGCAGTTCTCTTACAATCTGATTATTTTACGCATTAATTAATGCGAGATCTCACATCAACCTAAAAAAACTGACAATATTATGTTTTTTTTTGTCACTAAAAATAATATTAAAATTTAAAATTTACAACCTCTCATCTTTAGTATTAATGTTACGCAATGAGTTAACAACTTATGACAGTAAAACTAATTATCTAACTTATTAAATCGTAATAATAATAGGTTTTCTTCATTAATTTAAAACTGAGTTTTATAACTAAATACAATTAATATAAAAATTAATTTTCTTAAAAATATATATTCAAGATTATGCATCATTTTTTATTCTCGATTAAACGATGATAAATTTAACAAAAGTGCAACAGAAAAATAAAGCTAAACGAAAAACTTTGTTTACTCAAAAACTCATTTTTAATAGTTAATTATAAAAACTCATTCATATATTAAAGTTTATTTTTTTTGGCAAACCCTTGCTAACGTGAGAATTTGCATTCCGCAATTGCATTAAGTACACGTGGAAGACTGAGACCGATACTTGAGATAATTTCTTTGTTTAGCAACTCTCTATGTAAACAGCGTTTATGCTTTAATACGTTTTGTATCCTAAAGTTGTTTTACTTTAAAGTTTTACTAATTATTTAAAAATGTCACGTAATTATAATTGTTCATTCGCATAAATTTTAAATTTTATTAAAAGTTCTATAAAATAGGGATTAAAAAGAAAATACGCATCATCTTGAGAGAAAAGAAAACAAGATTTTTTAAAGACGTTTAAAAAAAAGTCACTCCTTAAGAGCAAATAACGCATGAATACGCGCAAACAACACAGCTACATCTGTGTATATGATGGTATCGATTTACATACCGTAAAAATCAAAATGTTTTTAAAAAATAAACGTTATGAAAAAAAAAAAAAAATAACGACGGAAAATTTTTTATTTTAATGTTTTATAACCATTTTTTTAACCGAAACTTTCACACATTACCAAAATTTTATAATAATTAATGATGATGTCACTCTCATTGACTCTCGATATTTCAGAGTAATATCAAACACCAACACGGAGATCGATAATTTAAAATTATTGCCGTGGCATTCAATTACAAGAAATCCTCTCACTTTGCGATAGATTAGTAAACAGGAAATGAGTTATAACAAAACAGTCGTTGACGCTCACAATAAATCAAGTAAAAAATGTTACGTAACAAAAGGCATTTTAAAACTTTTTTTTTTTTGCTCGTTAAATAAAAAAGAAATTCCCAAACTTATGTTGAGTTTCAGATATTAAAAAAAAGAGTTTCAGGAAACACGCAGCATTTGAAGTTTTTCTCACTAGCCTTTTGGATGTTGCCGCAATTCTGAGAGTTTATTTAAATTTAAAACTGATATTACTTAATATTTTGTAAACAAAAGAGATTTAATTCTTTTGTTAATTAAAATAAAAAAAATGTTTAAGCTTTAACAAAAGGTTTAACACACCCATTTTAGTAGTTATCGAGATCTCTCTATAGTTTTAAAATTAAAGTAATAAAGTTCCCATCTCCGTAGTTATCGAGTTAACAGATCAAACCTATTTTCACATTTTATAACGTAATAACTCTCTTTAAAAGTAATATCGCAAATCAACGTTAATATTAATAATAATAAATTATAACATATCCGATAATGTACAATAATTACTAAAAAATTATAAACGAGATTTAATCAAATATTTTTTAAACTCGATTTTGTTGCGCAAATGGGCGCCAATGAAAAATAATTTATAAAGGAGTATTTGTATTTATTTGGTTAGAATGGTATTTATTTAAACAAATATAAAAAAACACAACTTTGTTATTTGTCAGTAAAATCAAAATATTTCCACTTCATTTGAATAGGCTCCCTGTGTCACCTAATAAGAATCAATCAAGTATCACCTAGTAAGAATCAATACTGCTGTTGGAATAAGATTTAATTCTCTTAATGTTTTCGTCATATCGTCAGAACAAAATACTTTCCGTGGAAACGATGTCGATAAACTAAATGGTAAGTTTCCATCAGTTCGATTTAAGGAAATAAAGTCGCGAACAACACTCAACGTTTCGTCAGCACCAAAGGTCGATTTCATCGTAACTCCATTCGTTAAACGAAACTAAAAAAGAAGTAATAAATAAAAATTACAAAAGTAATGCTGTCGATGGGAAAAGAAAAAAAAAATGGATAAAAGAAATGATTTTTAACAAAAATACACAAAATTAATTGCCAAAACATGCTGTGTCATTATTTTTAAAAGAATGCTAAAACAAAAAACTATTTTTTCCATAACGAGGTATCCCACTACGTTCCTGGTAGTATTTCAATTGTTTTTCTTCACGCAGTAGCCTTGTTCGTAAAGGAGTTGTAAGGTTAATAAAAAATATATATATATTATAACAAGTGGCCTCCTTAACTATAGTGACCCCTCCGACCTTAACTGCAGTGACCCCTTCGGCCTTAATTGTAATCACCCTTTTGGTCTTGGGTAGTAATGTATAGTGAGATTCTTATGTTTAAAAAAAAAAAAATTAAGCTAAGGAAAAAAATTATTCTAATGTAAAATTAAATTTCAAGGTAGGTTTGCTATGTAACACTTTTTGTCTAGAAAACGTCTTGATACCCAAATTTTTTCATTTATACATTATTAAATTTAATTAAATTTGTATAAAATAAATATAACCCGTTTTTATGTAGTAGACTCTCATAAAGAGCGCAGTGCCGAATAAATTTTGAAACAAATTTTGACTTAGCTCTCTACCGTTGAAAACCTTATAAGTATAAGTTCTAGTTGCTTTATTTAATTTGTTACTTGTTATTTAATCAAGTTATTTATAAATTCTGTCAAAAGCTAAGACTAGACATTCATCCATCACTAGAATTTTAGAGTTTATTAAACCTGGAAACGATTTTATTTCTGGTGAGCTGCCTACAAACAAAGAAGTTATTCAAAAAGGAATTTTATTGAAAGAACAAAAAAATATCAAAACAAATATTCTTAGATCTTGCTAGCAATCTAGTTCGATTTGCTTTTGCTCTATGGAGAAAAGCAAATGGAGCAAGATTGAAAAGTGTTAAGTTTCAACAGCCAGTTATTATTGGGGAGAAATCGATATTAGTTTCTCCCCAATAATCTATAATCGAAAAAGTCTGACATGCAAATGGGACATGCTGATAAGATTGAGAATAAAATATATAAAAAATCAAAAGATAAAAGTCATTGATGAAGAAGGTTACCAGTAAAGAATTAAAAAACTACAAGATGAGCATTCGCTTTTCAGTTGTGTATATATATATATATATATATATATATATATATATATATATATATATATATATATATATATATTTATATATACACACACACACACACATATATATATATATATACGTATGTGTGTGTGTGTGTATATATATATATATATATATATATATATACACATTGGTGGAAGAACATCAAGAACAAAAGATCATCTGAGGCATTGATGATGGGTTCATCAACAGAGTTTCTGAATAAACTAGCTTTCTTAATGTTAGCACCAACCACATTGAATGCCTGATAATCTCTTCTGATTAATCCAAAAGTTCGTAGAAATCCACACTTAGCAAGATCTCTTCATGAAATGTCACACCAAGAGCATGGGTGTGCACTAGAATGTGCTTGTAGACCACAAATGATATTTGCCAGCTTCATATCACAGGACAAAATTAAGGGAAGTTTTTTAATGTTTAGCAGATCAAAAAGTTGCTTGACATTGCTACAGTTTTCCTGTAGATCTTTAGAAATGGCAATCAGTAACTGACACTTAACACCAGAATCTTTGGCCAGAGAATTGGCGAGAAGTCATTTTGATGACGGAGATTGTAAAACTGAAACTTTTTCCATGATTCCAAAGCTAACTTTTAGAAAACCACCACCACCATCCACTCCCAGCTTCATAATATAGTCATCAGAGAGGTTTCTTGTTTTCTAGTTTCAAGAACTTGCTGACAAAGAGCTTTGCAGTGAATGACAAGTTTATTTGCAGTGAATGACAAGTTTAAGTCTTTGCAGTGAATGACAAGTTTATCCACCTGATTTTTGCCAGTTGCAACTTTGATCCAAGTTTTGGTAAAATGACTTTCAAGTTTTTTGCTCAACTGGTCAAACTTGAAAAGAAAGTTCTTTCCTACAATTCGACTTGAAACAACTTGATATAGTATTGACACCAGCTTTTTCACACCAGAATTGGACAGCCCTGTGTTGTGTTACACATAAACAAGATCCTTTGGTGTCAGTTCTGGTTCTTTATTGAAAAGTCTTCTTGCTTTTAAAGATAAACCTTTGAAATAAAGAAAGATTTTACATTATTATGCATTACATAGACTTAAAATATGAAGCTAAAACTTTAAATATTTAATAAAATGTTACCTGGAAGAACTGGAATAGAGTGGCCTCCTATTCCCTCTGGTCTACTAAGACGAACTGTTCTATGGGGTGAAGCTTCCATGTTGGCAATGACTTATGCTGCAACTCTTTCAGCTGCAACAGAGTACTTTGACACAACTTTTGCTAAATTCTTTCGCAAAGTGGACTTTGCGAGTTGAGCAACTGTGTGAAAGACCCTTGCCAACTATTGAAAAGCATTGAGAACATCTTTTTTTCAACTGAGTTCTGGTTTGCTTTAGGTTTCTGGGTTGCCAAGACTGTGGAGAATTGTGCCTTGCTTTGCCAACTGAGCAAATCAAACAATCACAAACTGAATCTCTTGTAACCGGACAGACTTTGATATTGAAGAAGCCAAACAGCTGTAGTTGGGTTCAAAGCTTCCCCTCCTCAAGTCTACTAAGGTTGGAGCAGCAACGCTCACAAATGCCATTTGGGACTTTTGGATCATTAAAGTCAATTGGCTGCTTCAGAATTTGTTGCATTTTTTTTGTCATGAAGCTGGTTAAAAAGCGACTAGCCTTGCCAAGACACAAGAAGCAAACAGTCTTTCTGTTCTCTTCATAGGTTTTTGCTTGATTTGGCATATATTTTGTTAATTCAGATACTTAATCTATGAAAAAAATGGATTGAATAACTAATGCTTAAGCTTTTTCTGAGAATTTTATCATAACAGTTTATAAAAAAGCAATTTCAACTTTTTTTTAAATTTTTTTGGTACAAATAAATTGTATATTCTTTTTGAAATTAAAAAAAGCATAATTTTTTTTATTTTCTTCCTAAAACAACTTAAATACAATCTGTCAAAATTTATGAAGTGGATGAAAGTAAAAGTTATAAAAAATTAAGTTTTATTGCTTTAGAGTTAAATATATTCTAGTTTTTTTAATGCAATTTTATACAAATTTGAGAATGGATTTTCTTCCACGGACGGTATAACCAGATTTAGGATACACTGGTATCATTGGTGATTACTAGAATATAATTCTTGTAATCATCAATATATATATATATATATATATATATATATATATATATATATATATATATATATATATATATATATATATATATATATATATATATATATATATATAAACAGGGTATATATATACATATACCCTGCTAGCAATTTGTGCATCTGCTACCCAACAAGATACCCAGTTACATAGCATAGATTTAGCTATGCTATGTAACTGGATATTAGCTAGCAGAGTATTTATGTACATCTATATATATATATCGAGGAAATACTTCTCTTTGCTCTCTATTCAACAAAAACTATGATTCAGTTAATGTTTACTATAAATTAAAACAGGATAATGAAATTAAATTGTTGGTTGAAAGGCTTCTAAAGGAAAAGTTAGGCATCTATGCTTTCTCTGTAACAAGATTTTGAGATAAGAAGTCAAGAAAAAACACCACGTCAATAAAAAAAATACAGCTATGGCTAGCATATGGTGATTAAGTATATTGTTGTTTTATTGAGCAGTAAAATGCTTGGATGATGACTTAATATAAATTAACATACATTAGTTTTATTTTATAGGTTTGGGATTTATTATCAAAGAGCAATACACCACTATGACTTTATAACCAAGCGATCGATATCTTGGTCATTTTACCTCAGATGCACCTATTCATCCAGAAGAGCCAGTTAAAAAGATTGTTATCAATTTACTGAAACAACATAATCTTACTGAATGTTTAGTTAGTAGATCTTGAAAAGATGTTAGGTCACAAGTGCCACTAGGCCATATGCATGCTTCATTCAAATGAGTTATTTTTCATAATAGTCACCTAATAGAAGGAATTGATGGACCATCATCATGTAGTACTGGATTTGTAGGTTTTGTGGGAAAATTTCTTCTTGATGTTAATTAAATGGAGTATAAGCCTCAATTCAAATATCTTCCAGACAGAGAGAGAGTTTTGTTGACATTTCAAAAACAATACTAAAAAATATGTAAACATATCAAAAACAATCCTACAAGCTATGTAAAGCAGTAAAGACTGGTGTGCTACCACCTAATTTAAAAGAAATTTGATGTGGCCCACTAAGTCATGCCAGATGGTTCACTACTGGCATGAGAACAGTCTTTATGTGGACAAAGAAACATGACTTAACTGAGCAGAGTTTGAAAAATCTAGAGTTACTTGTCTTATTATATTTATAATTTTACTTTAAACTTTTTTTAGAAAATAAAAGACAAACTTGAAGATACTCCTTATCACATTCTTTCTCAATTTAGAATTATCAGAAATCAATCTGAGAGGGTAAAAGAAATTAAGAATCCCTTTATCCAGTTAAGAGATTGGTATGCAAACCGTGAAAGTATTTTAATGTCTTTGTTATCTAGTAATAATGCAGAAGACAGCAACCTTGCAGTTAACCATGCTTTGTAACAAAGGGGTAATGATATCCTTGAAGATATGTGAATTTGACCAAGAAAAACATTTAAACTGAACTTTGCAGCAACTGCTCTTCAAGAGCTAATTTAATGGGAAAACGAAGAAGTACAAAAACCTTGTTTCGTATTTGTTTGCTTACTAAAGATAAGTTGTTATTGCTCAGATTGAAACCTTTAATAACTCCTTCTTTCAAAATTTATACCCAAAGTACTGAATGTGCTGTAAAACAAGTGACAGTAGCATCTATGTAGGTAGTTGGACCAGATGCAAGAAATGGGTATATTAGAGCTAGAGCTCAATAGACTTATTTATTGTTTTTTAAAAAGTGTTTTAATAGTGGGATAAACCGCCTGTTTTTTGTTAAAACCACATTACTAACACCAACTCTTTCTAATTTCTAAAACAAAAAGAGAAAGTCTGAAGAAGTAGAAAGTCTAAAGAACATTTTACTCATCAAAACCTTATAAAAAATATATTTAATGCTCCTCCTGAAAAGTGCAAAATCTGCACTGCAAATAGGATCTATGCAAAAAAAACTATGAAACAAGTATCAAACAAATAATAACTATGAAACAAGTATCAAACAAATAATAACTATGAAACAAGTATCAAACAAAATAATAACTATGAAACAAGTATCAAACAAAATAATAACTATGAGACAAGTATCAAACAAAATAATAACTATGAAACAAGTATCAAACAAAATAATAACTATGAAACAAGTATCAAACAAAATAATAACTATGAAACAAGTATCAAATTTGCAGTTATCTAAAAATATTATTTTCAAATTATTGTCAAATACAATGAAGGGCATATTCATTTTAAAATAGGGCATAATCACTTTAAAATGAGATTTGGGTATAAAAACTTCATCAGATTGAAAAAATATTTTAGGAAACCCTATTTCAAATTCAATTTAACAAAAGAATACACCTTTTCCTAAGCTTTTAAAGTAAAAAAAAAATTTCATTGTACTCTATTGGGTAGGTAAATGTATATATATAAAAGGTTTTGGTCAAAATATTAGGTTAATCTAAAATGTTAAGTTATTTTTGAGGAAAATTAAAAATAAAAAGTTACACGTCACTTTGTTATTAACAAATTTATTAGCTATGTTAAAATTTTTATGTTATAATATAAAAAAGAAATAAATTTTTTGTTAATTTTCAGTTTTTAAGTCTTCTCTCCTTAATTCAAATCTGTTGAAAAACTCAAACTTTTACTAATTCTAACAAAACTCTAAGTTACCCTCAAATTTTTCGATGAAACTTACAAAAAAAACACGCTTGTCTGATTTCATTAGTACATCAAGTTTCTCTTTTACCTCTGGAGTATATATTTCTTTGAAAATATGCCTTCCTTTTTCTTTTTGATAAATTGGTAAAAGAACTTGAAAAAAGGCCGAGGAAATTTCAAAGGCAGATAAAGAACGGCATAAATTCAAACATTCAAAGGTAGAGAAAGCTATCAGCAGTTTACACTTTTACAAAACGTTTTACCATAAGTAAACACATTCACAACAAGCAATTGCAAAAAGAAACAAAAAACTATTAAAAATTAATATAGAAATACAAGTTTTGAAAATATTTTTGTATTACATTTTATGCATAATATTGATTGCACATGATGAAGATTTTGTTTATTGTCTTATTTACTTGTTTTATTGATCCTTCTTTACAAGTGAACACAATATGCTTAAATAAAATTACCTCTGAAAAAAAACTTTGGAAACTGAAACTTTAATGAAAACTCATGTTTCTGAATCTTAGACTATTTGACTAGGAGATTAGTTTTATTATTTCCAAAGATTATTTCCAAACTATGATTAGAGTATTTCATTTTAGAAATAGATATTACCCACCATAAATTTTGTTTCTGAACTAATCTTTGACTATTTGACTAGGAGATTAGTTCGGAAACTATTTATTGAAAAAAGAAATTTTTCAACGATATTTGATCAAAAATTATTAGAAATGCATCTACATGTTAATGCAAACATCAATAGCAATAAAGTGCATAATTTCTTTGATTTTTCTGAATAAATTAGCATGATTTGTAGCTTGATGCCTAATATTTGACACTCAACATGTTCATATAAATAATCAATGAAATCTAAACTCAAATAACTCAGTTGATTGGAATATCAACTTAAAAACACAAACTTTACTCTTTTTGAAAAATTCTTGAACTAACTTACCTGTGTGTCTAGGCTTGTTATTCTGAAGGTATATCCATCCTCAAGTCATTTTATCCTTTGCACGAGGTAACACAATGCTCTTACATACGTCTTTGTATATTTCTTAATCAGTAGTTTCAACATATCTATCAATAGTTTCAATATATCTATTTCAATATATCTATGGAGCAAATCAACACCAGCTGACTAAAACATACCAAAAACATTATATTCCCTCCTGCATGTTTAACAGTAAGCAGATGAGATTTAGAATCATATTTTGTTCCTATTGGATGTCAAACAAACTTGATTCCATCTGATCAAAACTGCATAAACTTGTTTTGACTAATTTTGACTACTCCACTTTAGATGCAGTGATGCTGATTCTTCTTTAACATTTCAGTTTTGTAAGGAAAACAATGGCTTTTAAAATAAGTCTTCAAAACACATTTGCATGACGTAAATAAAATTTTGTAATAGAAATACTATAATTTATTCCATAAAAACGTTTTATTTGTTCATTAATAGCTGTCAAGTGAAGTTTTCTGTTGCTTAGTGTCGCAAGCTTTTTATCCTGATATGTTGTTTTGTTAGAATTATCAGAAATCAATACATATAATAACACACATACACAGTTAAACTCATGAATTTGAATCCTAAAAGAGTCCTAAAAATATGTTTGAATTGCAGGAATTCAATCCTAAATATTAAACCTTGAAGGGACCAAAGAATTTGTTCAATTTAAATGATCTTTTGAATTATAAGAGCTCAAATTACAAAAGTTCAACTGTATATATAAATAAATCCTACCTAATCCAGCCTTGACAAACCCAATAAATGAAATAAATATTTTATTCTGGATTGAAATTCATGTTATGTTTATAAATACACATAGAATATTATATATATATATATATATATATATATATATATATATATATATATATATATATATATATATATTCAGAAAAAGAACAAAACCTAAGTTATAATGAAAAATGCAAAAAATCTTTCCAATAATAAGACTTTTGTTTCTAGAAAGCACCCATTCAAACCCAAATCCTCAGTCTATGTATATTTTTCTGTTATCCATAGAAAAATCAATTATTATATGTAGACTCACAGCGCTTAATCCTAATTCATTTCATCATTCATCAATCATATCGTCTTAAAATGTGTGTAAAGAAATAATAAAAAATAACAAACTAAATAAAATGAAAAAAAAAAACAACAAAATAAGGTAAAACAACAAATACAAAACAATAAAAAATAAACTAACTTGAATAGCACAAACATTACACTCTTTTTTCTCATGTAGAACAACAGGTGATTGAATGGAATTGTTTTTCAAAGGTAAAGATGTCTAAATAAATTTAATGTCATAATAGCATGTAATAAGTATTTTTTTAAATACTAAATTGACTATATAGCCAGCTGCTACAAGAGAGTGCTGCTATATCGACAATCTTATAGCCTGCAGCTACAAGGAATTGCCCTTACATCAACTGAGGGTTTGGTTGAGGCAGGAAGTCTATCAAATAATAAAAAAAAAACTTTAAAAATGTTTTTAAACTTTTTTTGGTCTTTCAAACAATTTCTTTAAAAAACAAACTGACCTGAAAATGGAAAAATTAAAAACGAGCAAACCCATGACCAAGCAAAGGTATATTTATATGTATAAGTGTGTATATACATATATATATATATATATATATATATATATATATATATATATATATATATATATATATATATATATACGCATATATATATATATATATATATATATACATATATATATATATATATATACGCATATATATATATATATATACGCATATATATATATATATATATATATATATATATATATATATATATATACATACATATATATATATACATCCTAATTGGCGAATTTTATATATATACATATATATACATATATATATACATATATATATATATATATATATATATAATATATATATATATATATATATATATATATATACTCGTTTTCCTGACAACCCTAATCATTTACCTTCACTCCTTGACTTATGTCTTGTCTCTGACCCTAGCTTATGTTCAGTTTCTCCCTTTTCTCCCTTAGGTGGTTCTGACCACGCAATGATCTCTGTAAATCTTTCTTCTCGTACTTCTTTTTTGGGCTCACCTTATCATCGCACCACCTACTACTACCCTAAAGCTGACTGGGATTCCTTTTGTGATTTTCTTCGTGATGGTCCTTGGGCTAATGTTTTTTCTCTCTCAGCTGACAAATGCGCCTCCTACATAACCTCCTGGATTCAGGCTGGAATGGAAGCTTTTATTCCTTCTCGTCGGTTTCAAGTCAAGCCTCATTCTACTCCATGGTTTTCTCCTTCTTGTGCGGCTGCTATATCCAATCGTAACCATTTTTTTCATCTTTTTCAAAAGAACAACTCTCTTGAGAACAAACGGCTATTTATTATTGCAAGAAATCAATGTAAAAAAGTGCTTTCTGATGCTAAACTCCATTATTCTCAGTTCACTAAATCTCGCATCTTATCGCAGAAGTTAGGCTCTAAAGACTTTTGGAAAATCTTCAACAACATTGTTAACAAGGGTAGATCTAACATTCCATCTCTCATTCATGGGACTGATCTTGTTACCTCTCCCAGGGATAAGGCAGAACTGTTTGCAAAGAACTTTTCTTCTAATTCCACTCTTGAATCTTATGGACATTCTCTTCCTTCCATTCCAGTCAAACAGGTTGACCCATTGTTAGACATTCAAATCACTCCGGCTTCTGTTGCTAAAGTCATATCTCAATTAAACTCGTCTACAGCTTGTGGTCCAGACAACATTCCTGTCACAGTCTTGCAGAATTGTTCTCCAGAACTTTCTTCAATTCTCTCTAAACTATTTAACAAATGTTTGACTGAGTCTTGTTTTCCTGCTTGTTGGAAAATGGCATCTGTGGTTCCAATATTCAAAAACTCTGGAGAAAATTCTGACCCCTCCAATTATCGTCCGATCAGCCTTCTTTCTGTTATTAGCAAGGTCTTTGAGTCTTTGATCAACAAATTCCTCACATCTCATCTTGAGTCAAATAAACTGCTGTCAGACAATCAATACGGTTTTCGATCCTCTCGCTCTACGGCCGACTTGCTAACTGCTGTAACTGAAAGATTTTATCGTGCATTAGATGGAGGCGGTGAGGCTAGGGCTATTGCTCTCGACATATCTAAAGCTTTCGACAAAGTTTGGCATGCTGGTCTTCTCCATAAGCTTGCTTCATATGGTGTTTCTGGGAAAGTTTTTGAGATTATCAAATCATTTCTTTCTGATTGGTTTATTAAAGTCATCCTTGAAGGCCAACACTCTTCTTTATTTCCAGTAACTTCTGGGGTTCCCCAAGGTTCCATCCTGGGCCCTGTTTTGTTTCTTATCTACATAAACGATCTTCCTGACAACCTTTTATCTAAAGTAGCTTTTTTTGCTGATGACTCAACTTTATACTCCTGTCTTGACAAAAAGTCTTCTCTTTTCGATCGCCTAGAACAAGCAGCTGATCTTGAATCTGATCTCACTTCAGTAATAGATTGGGGTTCACAGTGGCTTGTGAATTTCAACTCTAAAAAAACCCAATTGCTTACTGCAAACAACTACCGTAGTATGGTCAACATTCCTATATTAATGAATGGCAATCCTCTTACTGAGTCGTCCTCTTTACGTCTTCTTGGATTATCGCTTACTACTGACCTTTCATGGAAACCATATATACAATCGATTGCTAAATTAGCTTCTGCTAAGGTTGCTTCTCTTTATCGTGCTCGCCATTTCCTTACTTCTGATTCCATTCTCTACCTCTACAAATCTCTTATTCGTCCCTGTATGGAATACTGTTGTCATATTTGGGCTGGTTCTTCTAACGATTCACTTTCTCTTCTTGACAAGGTCCAAAAACGCATTGTAAATGTTGTTGGACCTGGACTATCTGCTAAGCTTGAACCTCTTTCCCATCGTCGTAAAGTTGCATCTCTTTCTCTTTTCTACAGATACTATCATGGTCACTGCTCAAAGGAGTTATCATCTCTAGTTCCATCAACTAAAATTCATTCTCGTTTTACTCGTCATTCAGCTAAGTCTCATTCGTTTACTGTATCTGTCCCAGCATGCTCTAAAAACTTTTATTCATCTAGTTTTTTTCCCCGCACTTCAATCCTTTGGAACTCTCTCCCATCTTCATGTTTTCCTGACTCCTACAACCTTCAACTTTTCAAGTCTTCTGTCAACCGTTTTCTTGCTCTATAACTCTGTTCTTTTTTTTCCTAGTAACTCCCAACTTAATAGTGGTTGCTTGCAGCCTTGTTGGGAGTGAATGCAAATAAAAAATATATATATATATATATATATATATATATATATATATATATATATATATATATATATATATATATATATATATATATATAATCATCCTAGTTGGTGACTTTTGGGGATATGTTATTTTTGTTCCCGTTCTGTTGGTTTTATTTAATTTTTTTATACTATTTTTATCATATTTATATATATTTTTTAACTTTTATTTTATTTCTATTTTTATTTATACATATTTAAATTTATTATTTTATAATAAAAATACATTTTTTATATTAATTCTTGTTATTTTTATTTATTTATTTTATATTATATTTCATTTTTAACTTCATCTATTTACAAAAACGATTAATTACAATAGTATAACCAAATTTAAACCTTGTCATAACCCTAACCCTAAGCCTGACCTTGATGTCTGGCCTAACCAAACACTCAGTCGATGTAGCAGTACTCCCTTGCGAGTCAGGCTATTTGTCAGTCGATGTAAGTACTTTTCGTTCTTTATAAAAGTTTCTTAAGGGTACATTTTTTTACAAAAAAATCATGCTTACAGGGACAAAAAATTAAAGGATACACTAAAATGTCCCCGATAATGCTAATGTCCCCGTAAGTGTTTGTTTTTTGTAGAATCTGTCCCCGTAAGTGTTCGTTTTTTCGTAAAATCTGTCCCCGTAAGTGTTCGTTTTTTCGTAAAATCTGTCCCCGTAAGTGCTAAACAATACAAATATATATATATATATATATATATATATATATATATATATATATATATATATATATATATATATATATATATATATATATTTCTTGAGCAAAGTAAAAGCAATAAATATGAACATATTTTTAAGAAAAACAAGGTATTTTTCAATCTTGACATCTTTCATAGTTTACATACTATATTTTTAAAAGATAAAATTATAATTTAAAACTCTGGAATATAAAATCAAAATTTTAAGACATTATAGAGAAATATTACCAGACAAATAGAATTGTTACAAACCAATAAAATTATAATACATATTATGATGCCGTAAATAGCATAAAAATAATAAGCAAATAAAACAAATTAGATTGACAAATTTATATTACAATGAATAGTTTGTTTATTTAAAGATGGGTTTTCTCATTCAATATAAAGTGCTTTTTTTATTTTCAATTTGTTTTGTTAGGAGCAGTATCCAAAATTTTAAAACAATAGTTAATTAGATTTTTACAACTAACAGATGAAATTTAATGCTTGTAAATATTAAATTGTTTATCATTTGTAAAGTGTTTATGAATTCTTGTTGTTAAGTGTCTGGAGGTTTCTCCAATATAACTGGCACTACATCCAGTACAAGAAAATTTGTAAACAACATTGGATTTGAGCTGCTTCAGAAGTGGATCTTTTATACATAAATTGTTTTGTAATTTGTTTGTAGTGAAACTACCAACAAATCAACAATTAATTGTCAACATCTTAAGTTTGTCAAGACTATCTACTTAATTTTTTATAAGCAATCTGTACTGTGTTATATACTGTTCTTTTACAAATCCATTTTGCCTCGCAACTACTCTCTCATTACAATCTCATCTTATTCATTATATCCTTAATCACTCTTAAGTTGTTTCATTAGCCTCTGTGGTTATCAATAATAAAATATTATAATAAAACTCTGCCTATAAAGTTATGAAAAATAAAACACTCTGAATCCTTTGTTTTAAAATTGTAACAGATAAGCACAAAACCATCTTTTGTGACTGCTGCAGTTCATCGGTTCATGCTAAGTGCAAC